GCTTCAACCACACGCGGAAGTGCGCAGTATGCCAGCAGTACGCACCTGTCCCTGGCCGACCGGCGAGTTTCTACACCCCGATGACCATCGCGCTACCATTTGCTAGGTGGGGCGTAGATCTGCTGGGTCCTCTGCCAACGGCTACTGGCGGAAGGAAGTTCGTCATTGTGGCGGTTGATTATTTCACGAAGTGGGTAGAGGCCGAACCATTGGCCTCCATCACTGAATTCCAGTGCCAGAAGTTCGTCTGGCAGAACATCATTTGCCGCTTCGGGATCCCAGAGCAGATCATCACAGACAACGGTCGGCAGTTCGTCGGCAGAGGCTTTGAGGCATACTTGGCGAAGTGGGGCATCAGGCACTCTAAGGCCTCGGTGGCCTACCCGCAGGCCAACGGCCAAGTGGAGAACATGAACCGGACCATCATGGACGGGATCAAGAAGAAGTTGGAAGACTACACCTCCACCTGGCCGGAGCAGCTGAATTATGTCTTGTGGACGTACAGGACGACGCCAAGAACGGCGACTGGGGAAACCACTTTTGCCTTGGCTTACGGATTCCAAGCTAAGGTACCGACGGAGGTACTGGTGCCTACCCATCGCACCAAGCACTTCCAGCCGGAGGACAACGAGATCAACCTACGAGCAGAGCTCCATTTCATCGAGGAACGGAGGGACCTAGCGGCTCGTCGCATGGAAGAGTATCACAGGGCCACCCAGAGATACTTCAACAAGGCCGTGAAATTCCGCGAAATAGAGGCCGGGGACCTCGTACTCAGGAAAAGAGAGAAGAGCAAGCCGCTCGAAGGCGGCAAAATGGCGAAGAGCTGGGAAGGACCTTACCGGGTCATCAGAAGATATAACCAGGGGACGTTCCTCCTCCACACCCTGGAGGGGAACCGCGCCGGGATGTGGAATGTAGAACACTTGAAGAAATTCTATCAATAGTTAGGGGCTGTTGTCCTTGTATTGTTTCCACTACATGTAAAATGGCCGGACGTCGTCAATAATAAGGCCCCTGTTTTCATCAATTCCGTTCTTGCCAACGACCGTTAAAAAAGGGAATCTCGATGTAGATAAACCTGTTCCTCCTTGCGAAGTCGGCGGACACCGGACGTCTCCTCGAAGTAGGGACGTCGGTGGGACCAGGGACCAAGGACGAACGAAGCACCAGGGAATCTCGATGTAGATAAACCTGTTCTTCCTTGCGAAGTCGGCGGACACCGGACGTCTCCTCGAAGTAAGGACGCCGGTGGGACCAGGGACCAAGGACGAACGAAGCACCAGGGAATCTCGATGTAGATAAACCTGTTCCTCCTTGCGATGTCGGCGGACACCGGACGTCTCCTCGAAGTAGGGACGCCGGTGGGACCAGGGACCAAGGACGAACGAAGAGTATGGATTGCCTCCCCTAAAAAAAAAAAAAAAAAAAAAAAAATGGGGAGAAGAGGAGGGTAGCTCCTATGTAGAAGGGAATCTTGCCCGGGCGTGCCAGATCTTCTTCAACCGCCGAAGACGAACGCCCCTCGATGTAGAGGCTAGTAGAGACGCGGAGGGGGCTAGACGAACCAAGGGAGCCTGCCAAGATAAACCTGTTTATCCCACAAATGACCATGGATCGATGGACGTGGGATAACAAAGTCGGGGACCCGTGAGGGTAGACCTGTTCGTCCCTGCGAGTTCCTTGGGTACCGAACGTCCTCTTCGAAGCAAGAGACGCCGGTAAGGCTAAAGGGACCACGGACGAACGAAAAAGGGGGGGAATCTCGATGTAGATAAACCTGTTCCTCCTTGAGATGTCGGCGGACACCGAACGTCTCCTCGAAATAGGGACGCCGGTGGGACCAGGGACCAAGGACGAACGAAGACTAAAAGACTCCAAAAAAAAAAAAAAAAAAAATGCCAGAATATCATGGAGCAAAGAATGATTTTTTATTCTTCGGCACTATTGGCCGGAAAATTACAAGATAGTGAAAATGATGGAAAAATTGTACAAATATAAGGTCACGAACGGAGAATTACTTTTGATCGACGTCCGGAGCTGGAACTTTGGGAAGAGCCTGCTTGGATTTTTCACTAGCTGCGGCTTCCTCCTGCTCCTTTAGCAGCTCGAGGGCCCCCGCATGGGCATCCGCCATCAAGACGTCGAAGCCGGCCGCCTCCGGATCGAAGGGAGCCCCAAAGTGACGCTCGAACGTCGGGAGATTCTCCGCTACTAGCCCAACCATACCTTTGCGGTAGGTGTCATCGGCGAGATCGTCAAGGAAACGACGTCCGGTGGGGGTGGCCTGGAGCAATTTAACCCCATCCTGGTAGGCATCCGGGCAGGTGGCCAGGAACTCGCCAACGAGCCGCGGGAGGAACTTCATAGCCATGGTATGGATGGCGCCAGTATAAGCCTTGGATCTCTGAAAGGCAATGGAACCAGACTCCTTGATCTTGGCAACATCGGCCTCATAAATAGGGACATGATTGTCCACGCCCGTCTGGCGGAGTTCCACCTTGGCCTGCTCCACGGCCCACATCCGGCTGCGGAGATCCACGAGCTCGGCCTCCTGTTTCTTGAGGAGCTCCTTCTGAGAGGCATTCTCCTGAACGAGCTTATCGTAGGCATCGGCTTTCTCTTGAAGAGTGCCGGCCCTGCCTTTGGCATTCCTCAGAAGGACGTCGCTTTCGGCCCGGACCCTGGCCATTTCCCTGCCTTGGTGCTCGAAGGCCATCCGGGCCCTGTGGAAGTAGAGCCCGGCCTTGTCCAAAGTGCTCTGTCCACACTCCAGAAGGTCTTCGGGTGCCTCCTGAGCAGCGAAGTCCTGGGGGACCTTGAGATTCAGGCCACACCATATAGAGGATGCTGTTTGACCAAAGAGCATCATTGACTCCTTGCGTGGACCAACCCCGGAGAACTCAATCAAACCAAGGGAGGACCCATTGGCTTTTGAGGGCGAAGGAGGACGAGCATCGTCAGAACCCTTAGCGACCTGGGCATCATCATCCCGGAGACGACGAACACCAGAAGTTCGTGGGGGAGAAGGACGGGACCCGCCCCGAGAGGCAGGGTTCCGCTTAAGGGGGCTCCCGGGCTCACCATCAGAGTCGTCGGCTACTATGATGGCCTTGGAGGCTGTACCCTCGACGCGCGGCCTCTTGGAGACGCCGGCGCCCAAATCATCCTCAGTCCGGGCCCTGGTCACCCGAGTTTCAACCTTGGGGACGAGCGGCTTCCCGGGCTTGTCATGCCCCTTGTGCCCACGACCGGCGGCAGACGGAGCGGTATTATCTCGGCGCATGGTGGACATGGGTGAAAAAACTCCTGCATAGAGGGAATCAAGACGTTCAGAACCATAACAGCAAAGAGAGGTTAAAGCAATACAAGTACAAACGGACGCACCTAATCCAGCCTGAGCTTTGAAGGGCTCGGCCACCAGCAACCGGAGGTTCTGGATGCCAAGTCCGGCTATGCGCTTGGCATATCCAAGCTCCTCGTCCGTCATGGGCGGCGGAATCGTCTTCACGGGGTAGGCATTCCACCGATCAGAAAATGGCATCGGTGAGCCTACTCCGGCCAGGAAGAAGCGCTCCTCCCAACCGTCTGGGTTCCCAGCGTTGTTCGAGAACAAACCCATGGACGGACGGGCAGTCAGGGTCAAATACCCCGTACGTCCGAAGGTGGACAGACGAAAGAAGTGGTACAGCAGGTCCACGGTGGGGGTCACACCGACGCTGTGGCATCTAATGATGAAGCCAGCGATTATCCGATAAGCGGCGGGGACGAGCTGCGCAGGAACAATCTCGAGGGACCTGAAAAGTTCCAAGTGGAAGCTATGCAGGGGGAAGCTCAGCCCGGCTATCACCGAATCCAGGTGGACCACCACATAGCCGGGCAGGTGGCGCATGGGGTTTCGTAGACGCCGATCGTCGTAGGTCCTTGGAGGATAAAACCATTGGCTGATCAGTCGCTTGTCAGCGTTCGTCAGGCGTTGAACTTGACGCCGGACGCATGAGAAGTTAAGGCTATAACGGGGAGGCCGGGGTGGCATTCCCCGCTCATAATATTCCAGGTCATCACCGGAAGAACACCCATCATCAAAACGACTTTCGGAAGACATGACAACGAACGGTACCTTGGGGTTCGAGATTTCCGATACGATCAAAGAGAAGTCTAGAGAGAGAAGGCAATTGTGCAGCGTAAGGAGAAATGTGAGTGGATCACTTGGATCCTGAGTATTTATAGGCAACACCGCGGATTTGCCCCAACCGAAGCAGGACACGTGGCGCCTGGGTACCGGTACCTACCACGGTATTTAAGGCCTCTCGATTTTATCGCCGCATAACCAACACAAGGACATCCGGGTCCATACCACGAACGTCCCTTGAGGAGGGCTCACCGGCTCGGGGGAATTTGAAGACATTCGCCCTCCCTTACTTCCTTAACTCCCCGGCTGACCCTAGCGTCGGCGGCTGATGAGGGCACACGCACCAACTGGCGACGTCCCTCTTGCGGTACACCAGTTTTTCATGTCACGCAAATATGGACGAACGTCGTCACCAGGTGCTGTTCCAGGGAAATACGCCCATATGTCCATACTCAAATGTGGACAAGCGTCTTCCCACTGTCAAGATACCGCGTGGGCGGGAAAGATGCATCAAGACGCCGGAAGGATTCCTTATACTACAGACGATGGGCACAAAAAGGGTGAAGTGAAAATCACGTCCATTAAGGGTGCACGGAGGACGAACGTCGCCTTTCCATACTCCGGACCCCCTTGCGCGGGGCTTTAGCGTTCATGCCGCGAGACGATAGAAGAACGTCGTTAGCAAGCATTGAGGCAATCTCCGATGTGCGTACGACCACACTTGCAAAGCGTGCTGTTTGGTCAACCCCCGACGAGCGTCGTCTTGCCATCAGAATGAGGTTGCAGGAGGGGCAGCCAGAATCGGCGCCGGGTGTCGCCGACCGGAGACGGACCTTAACACTGGCGCCACGCACTAGATGCGTACAGGGTTTTGGCAGAGGAACGCCCCTGCCCCCAAGCCAAGTGAGGAACAGAGATGAACGTCCGCGCAGACCAGGCGACGGAGAATGTTCCCAGAGCAAAGGGGGAGTTTCCATACAACAAAGGACAAAAGGAAGAAAATAACGAGGCAGAAATCATGAACATAGAACAATCATGGGGCAAAAAGACGTCTGTATTCTTCGGCGCTTACGGCCGGACATTACAATAGCCGGGATGGAAAAATGTAAATGACATTATACAAAGAAAGGGGACCCTGGGCGGCTGCTGCCCTTGTTCGGCTCCTCCTCCTCTTCCTCAGGCTCGGGGGTCGGCGGCTCTGGAATCTCCCCCCTGGCCTTGGCCTCCTCCCGGCGCTGATCCCTCCTCAGTTTCCCTAGCGCCTGGATTAGGAGATCGTCATCCGTGTTGGCCGCCAAGTCAAAATCAGGCCCCAGCAGCTTGGCGAATGTGGGTAGGGTGGCCTTTACCCCTTCATTATAGCCGGCGGCGAAGGTGCTGTCGCCGACCTCATATAGGAACTTGCGAGACAGGGGGGAGCCCTCAAGGATCCGGACGCCGCGGGCCAGGCGCTGGCGGGGCGGAATCTTCTCCAGAGCTGCGGCGAACAAATCGGCGAAAACCCCGGCGCAGTAGTCCTTGGCAGAGTCCATGAACTCCCCAGTGTTCCGGTAGCCGGAGGTGTCAACCAACCACTCCGGAGTGGCATCCTTGGCGGCAGGGAGCACCGGAACAAGCTTAAAACCGGCTCTTTCAAGGCCGGCCATCTGGCTGTGGGACTCAGCCTGCAGAGCGGCAATCTCCCTCCCTTTGGCTGCGGCCTCCGCCTCAGCTCGACGGGCGGCCTCCCGTACCTCGGCAACGGCCGCGTCAGCTTTAGCCTTGGCCTCCTTCAGGTCGGCCTCCCGGGCAGCTTCAGCTTGAAGGACAAGGAGCCCAGACTGGATGACAGAAGAAAAAAAAATTTAAGGATCAAAGGATGAACGTCAAGGAAAACATATATATGCTCAGATCTAGCAAGGAGGAATTACCTGAAGAGCGGCGGCCAGCGCAGCGCTTGTAGCCTCGGACGACGAACGGCGGGGCAGCTCGAGACCGGCCTTGAGGGCCATCTCCCTCCAAAGTTCTTCCGCCGGGCGGCTCAAAGGCAGGGACCCGGCATCTTCAAGAAGGGGGCCAGTGGAGCCTGCCTCGCGGCCCCGCTTCTGTTTCTTCTCAGGGACCCTCTCTGTCCCCTTCTGAGGAGCCGTCTTCGTGGGGACGACCGGCGGCGGAAGGGCGGCTTCGAGAGCAGGGGCCCCGGAACCCTGGGCCAGCATGGTGGCAATTAAATGTTGCTCACCCTCGGCGGTTCGCCTGGCAGCATCAGAGGCCGAGGAGTTGGACTCCGAGGCGGGGGCGTTTTTGGCTTTCGCCATCGCAGCTTTAGCCGCGGCCGCCTTGGCTTTCCTGGTCTTCAGACACTCGGCGTGATTCATTTGGTCTCTATCGGGCGGTGGACCTGCAAGAAACAACAAGTATTAGAAGCCGAGCGGGAAGTAGAATAAGACACTCACCTCGAAGGACAGGACCGCCCGGGCCCCGAAACGAGCGTCGAAGGGTAGAAAAAGTCCAGGAACACGGGCGGTACCTATGCCTGCCCCAGAGAGTGCCTCGAAGGTCAGAAATCCGGCTATGGGACGGACGCCACCCTCCAACACCTTCTCCGCATCCAAAAGCAGATCGTCGGTCGGCTCCGATGACTCAATCTTTGGGGGATACCCATTCCACCGGAGAGGGAGAGGAGGCCCGTCGTATCGAAGGAAGAAGAAGCGGTTCTTCCAGTCGTGGATGGACGAGGGGTAGTTCTTGAACAGCCGCCTCCCAGGACGTGCGGCCACGCTCAGATACCCGTCGGCATTCTGAGGAGTGACGCGGTAGAAATAATGGAAGAGCTCCAAAGTGGCGTCGACCCCCGCAAGTTGGCAGCGCACCAAGAAGGCCGATATGAATCGGTAAGAATTTGGCATGAATTGCGCCGGAGCCACCTGGAAGCAGTGGAAGAACTCCACATAAAACGCATGAAGTGGAAACCGCAGCCCGGCTTCAACGGAATCCAGGTGGAGCATGATCATCCCCGGACGTCTCCTCATCACATGCTCAGCGCCTCTCACGCTCCAGACGAACGGCGGAGGAAGGAAGGTGCGGATTTTATTGAGGGCCACACGGGAGAGGACTTGGTCGTGGTCAAGGGCGCTCCTAATCGGGCAGATGTGACGCTCCATATCCGTGGGGATACCCAGATCATACACCTCCATATCAGAACCGGATTCGGCTTCCTCTCCAGAATCATAATCAGCAGGACGCTCATTCAGGGGGACTGCATCAATAACATCCACTGCCCCATCGGCGTTCCCGTCCCCGGCGTCGCTCCCACTATCTTGAGGCACATCATCCGGCTCGCCATCAGCCCGGATGGTCCCCACCGTCGTGGCCGAACCAGAGGTTCCGGAAACACTAGTTTTTCCCAGGGAGCGTGCATTAGCATTTTCAGAAGAGGAGCCCGAGGAGGAACCCGACGAACCGGAATCAGAACTTGAGGAAATCTCCATCGAAGTCATTCCGGCTAGAAATCAGAGTAAAGGAAAGAAGCAGAGGGGGGAAATTACCTTACAAAGGTATGGTTGGCCGGATTCAGGAAACTTGAAGAGCTGCGGAAAATCGAGAGCAAAAGAGCAGAAATTGGGAACCCTAATTCAGAGGGCAAACCCAGCATTTATAGGGGGAACACCGATGGAGGAACCAACGAGGGGCTGACACGTGGCAAGGAGCGTATTCCGGCCCACGCGCTGTGCGTGGGATGGGAACGTAATGATGACACTTCCTCGGGAAAATGCGCCGCCGCAACATCAGCCGTCACCTCGTTTCCTGAGCCGTCAACAGCTGTCAAGCATCATGACCACGAGCGTACGTTTCCACCAAGATGCAATGAACACAAGTACCAAGATACGGACGTCTACTTCGGGGAGGTTCATACTTCCTTATGTCCTGCGCATGCTCAGAACATCAGAAGTGGGGGACTTGTGTTGGGTTAAGGGCCCAAGCCGAGGTCCGGCCCACTAACCCATTTTGCCAGACGAGCGTCCAGCTAGGAACTGGGCCAGCCCACAGGCCCACGTTCTTTAAGAATGGACGAACGTCTGGTGTTGGAGGACTCAGGCCCAGCAGCTCATTCCGACGAACGTCTATGCAGGGACAAGGAGCAGAGCCACGGGCCACCAGGGATGGCGACGAACGTCCCCAGAGCAAGCCTGTAGTCATCGAAGAAAACCCAGTGCACATGGTGAGTATCTATCAAGGCCAGGAGACGAACAGCCAATACCCCTCAAGGGTCACTTGGAGCAATCCAACTCAATTCCCGGGTGGACGGACGTCCCCACCGATCCGGCGGGAAACCTAGATTCTGGCGGGAAGTGCATTTAATGCTAAAGATTTGGTAGTTGGGACACCAGCGGTCCACAGGCTGCCACGTCAGTACAGCCACCTGCCCATTGGCGGGTATAAATAGAAGCATTTATTTCATTGAAAAGGGTTGGCAACTTTCTATTCTTAGCATACTAGCTTCAGCATTCTTTCTTGTAGCATTTCTAGCTGCCTTGTAAGACGAACGGCCGACGTGCCCTTGTAGCAAGTAGATTGTACTTAGGGGAGTTATTACGAAGTTAATAATACCTATTTACATTGCCTGCTATTACTCTTGATTCCTGATCCATCGGATAGTTGTTGGGCTAGATATTCATACACTTACTCCACTCGAAATCTTTGGGCTTACGTGTTGGGCCTGAAGGTTGAAGGAATAAACCTCAACAGGTTGGTTGGTGATGGAGTATATGGCCCAGGAACCCCCGGCCCATAGACTCCTGCTTCTCCTACACAAGTCCATTGAGTCCAGAGAACAACTCAGGCCCAAATCCAACGGCCCCAGCCTCAGAGTAGCCCAGAATACACACTGGGGTGCCTTCGGCCTCCTTGGCCGAAGGCTCCAAAACTCACATGATAGCCTTCTCTGGCATAAGAAACTACTGGGAGAAAACAGCGAAAAACATGAGTCTTCGGCATTATCAAGCCCTCGGCATCAGAGAAGCCTTCGGCTGAACCAAGCCTTCGGTCACACAAGGCCTTCGGCTACACAGGGGTCCTTGGTCACATGGAGTCCTCGGCTACACGAGGAGCCTTCGGCCAAACATGCTCAATCATCGAAGATTCCTTTTGGAGACAGCCAACCACCGCATTTAATGCCACGTCACATCCGCCAACCGCATTCAATGCGGTGAACGTACCACTGCCGGTGCCACCCGGCTGATATGACCCCTCGGCCGTTGGATTACTGACACGTGTACCCTCATCGCATTTATTGCTGCTATAAATAGCAGCCCATTTCCCCTTGTAAACGATCTCAGATGCAACTCCACACGCTAAGTTCATTTAATAAATCGACTCTCTCTCCTCCTATTTTGCTCTGACTTCTCTCTAGTTATTCCCGCAATAACCCCTCGGATAAGATACCCCGGTAGGTTGTCCATCAGTTGGATGGGTTGTGAATTATTTTACATTGTCAATAATTGATTCTGTCAAGTCCAAACTCCTAATAAGTATGATATAAATGTCTGTTCTAAAAATATCTCAAAACCTAAATATGTGAGTAAAAATTGCATAACACAAAATCTTGGAATTGTGACCTAAATAATAGCACTGACTTTCAATAGACAAAAAACGCGTTTTGTATGATACCTTTATGAATGACGCGTTTGAAAAAATGTGTGTTTCATACTTTAAAAATTAATCGATTGCCTTTTACAAACACGTTTATATGATACAGAGTACTTTTTATCATCAGATTTTATGTAATGAATTAAAAATAACTAAATACCTATATATATCTACTTAAAAGCTTTACTTTTCAGTTTTTTCTCCTTTTTTTGGGATGAAATGGCTTAAAATTCCCCCAAATATATCTCGAGAGTTATGTCTGTGCAACAAACCATGGCATAAACCAAGGCAGCTCAAACTCTTTCCATATATGTGTGGGTATTTTTTGAGTTTAACTCAAAACAATCTTTCCAAGGAGATACAAAACGCTTGAAGCAGAAGAACATACAACAAAATATGATCAAATCAAATACTTGATATTTATTATGAGTTGCAAAATAGCGATATTGATTCCATTAAATTTCAGATTGCTCAAGTGCAAAAAAAGAACAAACCCCAGTTTGAATATAAATAAAAACTGCCAACCAAAAATTGAAGAGAAAGAGAGACATGTTGACTCTAGACAGGTCATATAAGATCTACTACAATGCAAAATCAACTCTGCTATAGGTACCCTAATTGGTACCTCAATTTGTACTCCAACATATTTTTGTGGCTCACAAAAGCCCACCTCAATAAATGAATTGACCTACTTTAATGAAGTGCTTTTGTGACCCACAAAAATAGGGTGGAGTACAAATTGGGGGTACCAATTGGGATACCTTTAGCATTTTTCATGCAAAATACTCCATCGGTCCATCCCTCCCAATCGGTTTTAGATTATTATTTTTTTGTCTCAAAATAGCTTTTCACTTACATTATTTTTGCCTTTAGATTCTATTTTAAGTAAAAAGAAAGGAATGAAATGAAAGATATACCCTTACATTATTTTTGCCTTTATCATTCTAATATATCAAATTTCCCTTCGGTTTACATCTATTCATTCAGTCAATTTGATATTTTTCATTAATCCAACACTGTCAATATATTCATCTAGCAAAGTTATAAGATTAAAGTATTTCTGTTATTATTAGGGATAATATGAGTTTGCATCTCATTTTATTTTTCAAATTGGACTTTGCACTCCGTTTTTAAAAATCTTTATTTTTGCACTCAACCCGACAAAATGCCCTCCATCAAGAATATAACTAAGGCCAACAAAATTGTTAATGGAAGGATAAAGCTAATGGAGTATAAAATATAAATCACAACTTTATTTGACACAAATTATCCGGAGTACTACTGTGTTGAGCTGGGTTCATAGCTCGAAATACTAGTGGGTGTAAATCACAACTGTATAACTGTATTTGACCAGTATAAAAAAATTCACAACTGTATTTGAGTATTTGACTTGAATTATATTATCTCAAATAATAATAATGGAAAAAATGTGTGCGACGTGGGAATTACTTTACTTCTTATTAGGTGCCAGCCTAGACTTGATTTTCTCCACCTCTTTCGTCCCAACTTGGAACGCCTTAGTCAACACTTCATCGGGGACGGTGGGCGACGCCGCGAACAAGGCGGCGGCGATCGACTGAGTTCCCGGAAGCTGGCTGTTGAAGGCGGCGATCACAGCGGCGGGAGCTTTGCCGCTATTCCTCTGGAAATGGACCAAGCCCCTTGGGAAGACAAAAACCTCCCCCTTGGTAATGTGCTTGGAGACCAAGACGTTGGCGGTGGTGACGAAGCCGACGTCGAGCTCCCCGTCGAGGACGAAGATGATCTCGGTGGCGCGTGGGTGGGTGTGAGGAGGGTTGACGCCGTGAGGAGCGTAGTCAATGCGGGACATGGAGACGCCGAGGGTGTTCAGCCCAGGGACTCTTTCCACATTCGCCGCCGTCACTACCGAGCCCATCGTATTGTTGGTCGCTCCGCCTTTCGCGATCGCCGTTGACGAGAAGTCCGCCGCCGTGAATTTCTTCTTGCACGCGAATCCGTTCACCTTCACACCTATATATAGAGAGAAAATTACCCGCCCACATTCAATTTTACCATTCAATTTAAACATTCAAAATCATGTGATCCACTAGCTATATAAGGTTTGTACTTCCTTCGTCCCGAAATGGTTCGCCACATCACTGGCTAAGAAAATCCCGAAAATGGTTCACCAAATTGTCATCATTGAATACGAAAAGTTACTATGTCGAACTTTTTCGGGATGGAAGTAGTATAAAATAATGAAAGTAGTATAAAATAATGAGAAATGAGTCATATATGTATACTTGAGTTGAGATCAGCAACGCAGACATCTTGAAGCAAATCTGGATCGGTGGCGGAAACTGTGCGGACAATCATAACCAGACCCATCATCATTATTAGTGCGACCATCTTTCCAAATGGAGCCATATTAGTGCGGGGCGGGCTTTCTCCTTCAGCGCAGCGTATACCCTGCCACACAAAGCCAACAATATATATACTTTAGGGAGTATAAAAGGAAAAATGATCAAAACAAGATGAACGAAGTGGAAGAAGAATATCGATCAATGTATATCCCATACTTTTATATTCGATATATAAAAAAATCGGATAGGAGGTTGTGAGACTGAATTGAGAGAAGGGGTTGGTTGGTGTGATTATTATAGCGGTGGGGCAGTTGAAAGCTCTAGGCTGGTCAGAAATGATAATGCTAGAAAATTAGGGGTGAACTAATTTGTGTGGGAAAGCAACGAAGCATCAAACTGCATGCTCTAATTTCTTATCTTACACCTCAAGTAAATTAAAGCCTCTCCAATGAGGCTTCCAATCTCAAACGTTAAGTAATAATACTCGTAATAATATTCATTTTCTCAACATTTTTTGTACATTTTACGTAATATTCGAATGTCAAAAAGTTATCTCATAGTGTGAATAACTTGAAACGACAATGGAAAATTGTTTACCAAAAAATCACGTTTTTTCTACATTTTTTTTTTGCGGAAAAAATAATAAAAGTACTTCAAACTTTGAAGTACGTGAGATAAAAACCCCAAGCTTGTATATGTAATTTAAATATCTCAAACTTTATACAAAAAATTATTTTTCACACAATTTCATGTATTAATTCTTTCAAAAATGTAAATTTATGGTATGAATTGCATGAATTAAAATATTTAGTTTTCATA